TTTTTTTATTTTTTTTTTTTTTTATTACACAACAACCACTACAGGGGGTAAGAAACCCCAACCCTTTAGGATATGAATAATCTGAGTTTTTTAGTATTTCCAATGGTAATATTCTGGAGTGCTGTTTTGCTTCAAGAAAACAAGTAGTGTTGTTTAGCAACAGTAAAAGCACCCAATATTCCTTTATGTCCTTGCACAGATATGTTTTGACTGTTTCTGTGCCCTGCTCAAGGTAGCCAAGGAAGCCATTTCATGTGAATTGCATGACTTTTAATGGTTTAGTACACAACAACCTTCTGGACTTCTCAAACTTTGCATCAAATACAGTCCAGGCTTCCACACAGGCCAACAATCTAGTTCTAGGCTGTGGTTTAGAGAAGAAAATATCAATGCTGCTGCCATTGTAATAACCAATTTCTCTCCTGTTGCTCAGTTCARTTGCTGAACCATTATGCTATTTTTCCCCAAACCAAAGAGTTACTACCATTCACAAGTTACAGGCTACTACTATTCAATTAAGTGACTCTTTYGTGAAGGATCCTTTGGCACATTGACTAAGAGCTACTAAAGAAACTAAACATGTGAAAGTCACTTGTGCTTCTGCTGAACAAACTGACATGTACTGCAGTTCTGCACTAAGAAAAGAAGCAAAYRAGGATTAAAATTRCAATTAATGARAAATAATAATATAAGACAGYGAAACATGAAAGAATTTCCTAGRAAAWAGATTTCCTGATACCTTTATTAGTTAATAGGAAAACAAATATAAAATTTCTTATTGTACATGGATCAGTTCACAAGGGYTGTATTCCCACACCACRTATATCAATGAAGCTTTTATACTTCTGAGAATCCATCAGTTTCTATGGTATAAACACATGATAAGAAAGTAAAGCCTCATATGGGTAACTGTTTTTTCCTGGTGAGACGTATCCTTGCCCAGCCCTTTCATCATAATGAAGACAGTGCATCATCAATTAGTTCTTGTCAGTGATAGTGCCAAGGACATAATTCTCCTGCCAGTTTTATTTTCTGGGTGCAGCGTTTCCCATCTAAGAGAGGCATAAATCACTCAGAGAAATGGTGTCAATTATTGTCTCACAACCACCACTCAGAAAATGCTGCTTCCTGTTCTAASTTTGCCCTGAAGTACCACATACAAAAACCACAGGCCAGAATCTACAGYAGCAGTAAAATGTGTGTATCAGGAAGGGTAAACTTGCACTGTCTTAAAATATTTTCCTTCAATAATTCCCCTCTCCTCATCTCTCTGGTGACAGTGAAACTTCACATAAGGGCATGTGTTCTGGGGTCACCTAGATATCCACCAGCTACTCATTCTTGAAGGATTATGAGCCCTTAATAGACTTCAGCTTACTTCATTGTTGAAAAGCACTGAGACTACCAAAAAGCTTGCACAAGAGCTGAGGAGAAATTTTACTTATGCAGTAAAAAAAGGAAAAAGGTAAGCCTTTTCCAACACAGCAYTTGGGATGGCCTGTTCAGCACATTAAAAGACAGGAGTATATCACATCCAAATCAAGATTCTGGAGTTTTTTTCTCTCCTGTACAAGGTTTTCTCTAATTAGATTTTTCAGAACAATTTTGTTAGAACTGATTTAATACTTCAATTCAATTGTATTAAGAGAAGATCCCCAAGGGATACATCTTGTGTGCCAGCACATGAGAAGGAAAATGCTTAAGCTTGCATTTGCTATAATTACTACTTGTTGAAGAACCAGCAGTACAGTTGATGCTGTCCACTGGGCACATTTAGCTTTAAATGGAAGTTTTTCTCCTGGCAGAAAAAAMCATTGTTTTACAATTTCCCAGAC